GCAAGGGAAAAACTGAAACACCCGTCAGCGATAATGAGGAGATATCGGTTTCAAGTAACAGAAAACACCATTAGATGAATTAGAGAAGTTCTGATCCCTCACGCACGCGACATTTCCTAATGACAAGTCGAGTGTCCTCTAGTGAGAATGGAAGACTTTGAATGAACGAAATGCATCATGTGTGTTGCTTCAGGATAATACAGGGTTGCGTTTTATACTACTGAGATCAGGTGTTCGCAAAGATAAAATAAAAGAACGTGTCAGCGGCTTTCTTTTAGTGCTTGGTCTGGTTACGTCAAAAGCAAAAAGAGTTAACTCCATCCGCCATCGTTTCACTTTGAAATTTTTAGTTTTTCCTCTTTGTTGTGGTAAATACGTGGACACAACGGACCGCCGTTAGGCCGCAATCCTGATATGAGTCCTGAGTAAGTAGTACCTCCATTTACGCATCCCCAAAAACTGCGCACTTTACTCTCTCATCAGCAGAACGACGGTTTCAATGGCAGACAGCGTACATAAGAAAAATGCGACTGGTGTTTTATCCTGATTCAGCGGATCAGAGATCACAACGGCTTCGAGCATCAAAGCTACTCTCAAATTGATTACAAACACAGTGGCATTCATCAACTTCTTCAAAATTTTCGAAAGATTTCATATCAAAAAGGTTGTATTGGGAGTTACTGGGTGTATTTATCAAAGCAACGGCCTGTACAACGAGAACGGTACAGGAACAAGCCAACTACATGTTGTGGAGGCTTCGTGTCTTTCAGAACGGACAGATCTTGGAAGACTGATGATCTGGTTCAAATAACCTTCAGTAATTTCATAGTCAAGGAGTCTGAGGTTGGTGGGCGTGATTGTGTCGTATCGTCGTTAAAATTAAGGCGGCACTTTTGTGCTACGACGAGAAAGCGCTGAGGATTCCGGTCATTTTCTTGATTCCGTCCAAAGACAGTAAACCTATCCACATAAACATGTGTTTCGGTAAGCTTTCCAGCGCGAATTTTGTCATCAGTTAATCTTTGGAAACATGTTGTTCCACTGGTTGCGATGGCTGTCGAGATTGATAAAGATTGTGGCAAGCCCCAAAAGCTGCCGAGATTCTATCACTTTTCCTAATGGGTATTTGATGGTACGCACTTTCAACATCGGGCGTGATGAAAACACTCATTGAGCTATTCTACTACTCATGTCCCCAAGTTTTTTTTATGACGGGGGAATAAGCGTCCAGTTGCGTAAATAGGCATATAGGTTGAATATGGTCAACACCTATTTTTTACTCCACTGCTCGTTTGGCGCAACGAGCACCTGTGCTAGCCATGGAGACTTCGACGGTTCAATAATTTGTTGATCGGGTGAACGATGTACTTTAGAGTCGACAAATCCCCGACGTCCGCAGAATGTCGCCAGAGCCTTATGGCAATGGGCTCAAAACTTGGATCAAGATGCACAAAGGTTGAGGTTTGATTTTAGAAGCAGTTAGACCACATACAGAGAAAGAAGGCATATGCCACTAAATGGGATTTTCAGGGATTTGTGAAATTTTGAAAAATGATGGCGTGGTGGAATATTCGCACAAAGATTGCGTAATACTCAAAATTCAAAAGAATGACACGTTTTTTATGCTGCAATGTTTAAGAAACACTGCCCAAGAGTAAATCATTATACAGAATGAATGGCAAAGTGATGTCAGATGGCGATGTTCAGACAGGTCACTTATTATGACGGATTGCATTTGATGAAATGTTCTTCGGACCAGCAGGTAATCTGCGTGCTTTTTGAAAACGCCCGCTCTTCCACGGCTTTGTAGGTTGCGTCTTTATCTGGGCATTTAAAGGTGAGTGATAAGCATAGCCAGAGAAGAAGCGTGAATAGCCTGTACTCGTAGCAGTCGTCTGTTCATGCGATAATGCTTGAGAACGCTGGGACATTAGGGGCGTCCGGTACGGTAGCACGGGGGAGTTGATTGTTCAACGATAACGACCTCGACTGTATTTACGCTAGTTCAAGAGATTTTGTATGGTCAAAGGCGCTTTTGAATCCCAGCGACAGGTGTTCCAAAAGTTTCTTGCGCGTGGTATTCTAATAAAGTCCACTAATAAATGTGTCTAGTAGTGATTCATCACTATGTTGTTCTGCTCTAGTAGCCACCAGATCGGGAATTCTGCAACAAAGTACAAAGCTTTTGCACAACCTGTCTGGAACGCTGATCTCCTTCCCGCCTGCTGGCATTCAAAAGATGGTGGTCGGAAATTTAATCTTTCGAGAGGTTGCGACAGCCTACCTACACAATTCAAAGCATTTAGTGAAGTAGTAAACACCAGGAGGGACGTTGTTGAACGAGGTTTTTAATTTATCTGATGAATGAAAACCCACTGGCCTGGGAATTTCGTGAAAATACTCCCAGCTATCTACTGAGCCTTGGGAGCAGGGATCAGTTCCAGACCCTTTGAGGTAAGAATTGATCTATTGATCGATGAAAATGTTTGCGTAAATAAACTGTTGTGTTCACTTAGGGATAGAGTTCAGTGGCGTTCGAAATATGAACGGAAAGGAGTGAGGGCCCGGAAGCTAAGCTTTATTCATCCGAAACTTTGACACGGGGCTGCAGCGAGATATTGCGATATGGCAATGAACAATGAAAAGTTTGAAAAACGGACCAACTATACAACAAGCACGTGAGTAATTCCGGGAGAGCATAAGAAATCACGATTTTCACATTTATCATTGCCTATGAAGGTGCACATTTTACCGGATAGGGCGTCCACCACTAGGTTGTTTTCTAGGTCTGTAGCTGATAGGGTTTCCAAAAGTGGGGAGTTCCGTCGCTGGATTTTATCTTTGTTTTATTTTCCTGCAACAAACCATACATAAGGGAGAGTAACTTTTGGTCACTGACAATCCTGAAGGGTTTCCCGAAGAGATAATTTTTTCATTTATGAATGGATTCCACGATGGTTTAGGCCTCTTTGCTAGGTGTCAGTGTTCGAGAAAAAGAAGCCACAGTTAGTCTGATTTTAGTCAGAGATGAAGCAATCATTGTGTTCGAGGCACCCCTATCGACAGCAAAGGGTGCAGTGCAGTTGACTGTTAAGACCACAGCATCCTCTGATTCTTTCTTTAATTTTTTTACTCGTTCCGGTAAGGGAGATGTTTTTGTTCTTTACGGGCACTGATTCTGCCAGAGAAACCTGGCATCCATATATAAACGTCCAAAATTGGGTGTTGGAATTTAGCGTCACATGGATGAGGGAGTTGACGAATAGGACGCATCCGTTGAGGATCTGGTTTGATAATCCCTGCAGAGGCCCCATAGCCAATAGGACATATCCGTTTGGCTGCTATGTTGCTTTCTTGCGGTTATGAACAATTCCATATTTTTTGTTGCGTAACGTTCGCCTTTGATATTCCCACAAATAATGGCATCAGCGTAAGCTTAGGTGCCACTGAAGTTTTCAGACTTGGTTATATGTTAAACAGTATGTTGGAAAAATGCCACTACACTGGTTACACTGAAGGGGAAACGGCGGAACTCAAACAGTTCTCCGTATGCTTCAAAGTCAGACGCTCAGTATTCGCACAATGAAACTGAATTTCCGAAAGAAATGACACTCCCCTGATGGACTAAAATAGACAAGAAATTGAGTTCAGAATACCACTCCAAACTTTTGTGCTCTGCCCAGGCCTCCGGGGCTCTCAGTAAAGTTATACAGGACAGGAAATTATTCCAGCGAATTTTTCGGCCAGAAGTAAGATTGCTTCAGTGGGTAATGAAATTTGATGATCCGCAATTATATGAAAGTACATGAAAGTATATGAAAGATGGCCTTCGGTCTGAGCGTATACACAACAATATGAAAAATTTTGGCGCAAAAACTTTTGCACCTGGGAGCATTTTGCGGCCAAGGAGCCTCCAAAAGCCATGTAATGCTTGACTTTCGCACTGAGTGAAACCTGATAGCACGCACTTAATAGGTCTAGGGTACAAAAAGAGCATGGCGGGAAATTTTTTCAATCATTTTGTAATGCAATGGAAACTTGACTTTACATGCTTAAACGTGTTTATCGTATGGCCTAATGTGCATACTTCTCCCTCCTTATTACAGGTACCCCCGACGAGCCCCGGACAAGAAGCAGCAGCCCGACCCTACACCCCTTTAGTTTACCTTGAGCTATTACGATATCTGTACCTGATATGTGCCGGCATTTTCAGTTTCAATACAGGCACGTTGCTTCTGTAGTGTCTGTAATCCGTTGCCACATTAACCATTCTTCCTGAACTTGAACCACACTTTGTAACTGTCGTTCATATTGTATCATGACGTTTGTTTCAATGTTACGAATACATAATTTTCCGGTGCGACCTGCGGACTTCTTGCTGAACGGGTGTATTTACGCTCCGTTGGACCGCTCGTTGACTGCCGAACCAGTGGGATTAGATCTGTGTGTGCCAACTGTTGAACGTCACAATAAATACCTGTGACATTTTTTTAGCCGTGAATAATTTTCCTACCGTGAAATATACCACGCACGCGGAACCACCTGTGGGAAATTCCGACAAGTGAATATTTCCTTTCACAGCCAGTTACTGCATTTGGATCGGTGTAGTGGACTATTGGATCTACAAATTCGTGAGTCCCCATTTGACCACTCACTCCTTTCCTATTGTGATTTCGTGAATTCGCATTTGTTACTTTGCTTGTTAATTTTATCCGAACAGCTGATAAGGTCCTAGTGCGCTACACTTCGCTCCGGTCTTATCTCTTGCGTACGAATGTGTGCTCTGTGCATTGTGGTTCCAATAATATCAAATACCATATCCGCGCATTTCAGAACAGGCGTGTGCCTTCAGTAAAACCTCGAGAATGCCGAATACCGCGGACGTCCTGGCGCCCATCGGTGCAATGCTATCCAATCGCGGTAACGGGGCATGCGATTCGTGTACAAACCTGCATTCTGATTGGTTAGTTGTGCGCGGGCCCGGAAGCGCGCGCGTTCAAATTGCGTTCGTGTCTGTCATTTTGACTGATTCATATGTAAGCATTGGTGATGTACAACCTTGCTTACTGGGCTTTGGCTCATGAGCTTTGTTTCTGTTTTCCATCCACAGAAATTGTCGTGAACACCTGCCTTCGGAGAATCACTGTCCCCTGGTGCTTCCATAGCGTGCATATTACATAATTGGCGACCACGCCAGGATGGTTACC